ATTACATATATTCCTACTCCACAACACTGTATAGGAAACTCCTGAGCTCAGGTGCTGAGGAAAGCGATTACATATATTCCTACTCCAACAACACTGTATAGGAAACTCCTGAGCTCAGGTGCTGAGGAAAGCGATTACATATATTCCTACTGCAACACTGTATAGGAAACTCCTGAGCTCAGGTGCTGAGGAAAGCGATTAGATATATTCCTACTCCAACACTGTATAGGAAACTCCTGAGCTCAGGTGCTGAGGAAAGCGATTACATATATTCCTACTCCAACACTGTATAGGAAACTCCTGAGCTCAGGTGCTGAGGAAAGCGATTACATATATTCCTACTCCAACACTGTATAGGAAACTCCTGAGCTCAGGTGCTGAGGAAAGCGATTACATATATTCCTACTCCAACACTGTATAGGAAACTCCTGAGCTCAGGTGCTGAGGAAAGCGATTACATATATTCCTACTCCAACACTGTATAGGAAACTCCTGAGCTCAGGTGCTGAGGAAAGCGATTACATATATTCCTACTCCAACACTGTATAGGAAACTCCTGAGCTCAGGTGCTGAGGAAAGCGATTACATATATTCCTACTCCAACACTGTATAGGAAACTCCTGAGCTCAGGTGCTGAGGAAAGCGATTACATATATTCCTACTCCAACACTGTATAGGAAACTCCTGAGCTCAGGTGCTGAGGAAAGCGATTACATATATTCCTACTCCAACACTGTATAGGAAACTCCTGAGCTCAGGTGCTGAGGAAAGCGATTACATATATTCCTACTCCAACACTGTATAGGAAACTCCTGAGCTCAGGTGCTGAGGAAAACGATTACATATATTCCTACTCCAACACTGTATAGGAAACTCCTGAGCTCAGGTGCTGAGGAAAACGATTACATATATTCCTACTCCAACACTGTATAGGAAACTCCTGAGCTCAGGTGCTGAGGAAAACGATTACATATATTCCTACTCCACCTCCTCTACTTACCTGTAGGGTTATTCGGGGATATCAAATAAATCACTTTAGGATCAACTTCGGCAATTTTTTCTCTCAGTTCACCTACACATAAAAACCGTTAAAAAATATTCATAATAATTTCCCCATACTTTCATCATTGCAAAATGGGTCCTTCAGCTCCATCTTCACATGCTGGGCGTGACACCCCTCTATGAAAATTCCAACCTGTCACCACAATGCCAAAAATGCACATCATGAAACGCTTCGCTCCGCTAGCCCCGATACAGCACATTTCCAGTATGAAATCAATGCCTTTTCACGTATCAATCTTCTTTAACCGCTGTAAATATAATAATATTTTCGGGCGAGCGAGATTTACAAATCCATGTCAACTGCATAAGAACAATTTTATGAAAGTATTATACTAGTAGCTATAGTAGTATATTGGACTTTCACCCGTTTTACGCGAAGTGAAATGTGAAATATGTTTTCCACATCACTCCATTATAATAGTAACTATTAGAATACGTCCAACACTTCGAAACCGAAAAAAGAAAAATGCGAAAAGCAGTCACCAACAAAAAGCTTACTTGCGGGTAACTCGGCTGAGGAACCAACGCCTTGTCCCCAGGGGCCAGAAAGGTGTCCATTATCAAGCGAAGTGCATCATCACTGAAAATGCATACCTCGTCAACCACTCGGAGAAGAAAAAATTTTTCGGAAAAAAATTTTCTGAGAAAAATTTTCGGGAAAAAAATTTCGGAAAAAAAATTTCGGAAAAATTTTTCGGGAAAAATCAACAATGTGTTGGTAACAATATGAAAATTCCACACATTTTTATAATTATCGAGCAAACGCATCTGAGAAAAAAAACAAACATTTTCATACCTGCCGTTGTTAACCAATATATGTTTCTTATCCAATTTCACATGCTCAGTGATCCCATCCAGACACGCTTCACCAAAAAGATGAGGGTACCACGGCAAAGTCAAACGGCCATCCTGTGAGTGCAGAAAGCTCACGAGCTTGTCAGTGATCGCTCTTGGTGGAGGAATGGTCGCCTGAATGACTATAAGTTTGTAAAACCTCAGGCTTATGTGTTGAAGCCTGACAGTACTGATCAAAAGCCCTACAGTTTCATCTACATGATGAACGTGCGAACTGGCAGAGACGTAAAATCTCACGCCTTGGGCATATGTGTTGAGGACTTATAACAATCGAAAGGCCTAGGCCTTCCGATTGTTATAAGCCTTAAAACTGTAGACAGTTTTACACTGTAATTGTACTCTTACAGTTAGAGGTTACTCAATCAGTAGTGCATTAGAAGGCACCATATCTTCGAAGAGAAGAAGGTTACAACTTTTAACAAATACACGAATATTATTCGCGGTGATATGCAGTAGTCGTGAAATATATTTTTCACTAGTGTTTTTCATATCACTAGGGTGGTGAAAAAACTCCATTGTTAAGAATACTCTACGTAAATTGTGGTAAAGTACACACATGGTCAATTACATGTGTTGGTGGCAATATGAGAATTTTCAAAATTTTTTTTGGAAAATTCTCATTGGTTTTCGTAGACGCACAGTTAGTGAGGAAAGCGATCAGATAGCTAACACAGGTCAACCATATGCGTTAGTGAAAATACGAAAATTCCGATAAAATTTCTCTACACTTTTACCCAAATTTCCATAACTCCCGAGCTCAGGTGAGGAAACCAAACACATATTCCTCCAATACTAACAAAAACAGACTCTTGTCCCTACTTCGTTATAATCCAATTTTAGCGCATTTTTGAGGTCCTTGCTATCCCTCAAAACTTGGTTGAGACTGTCTGGAGGCGCGTACACCTTCACGTGGGATAATGGAGCGACCGGGCGAACACCTCGGGAAGGGGAAAAACGACCGACGCTGCGGATCAGCATACTGGTAGATAACGCTAAGGTGCAGAGAGAAAATAATAAAAATAAAACATCATAAAAATAATTTCAACTCATAAAAAAATATACAGAAAATTCGGAAAACAACCGAAAAAAAATTCCTACTACATTCACCTCGAAAAAAATTTCGAAAAAAAACTAGAGCCAAATTTTCCGTAACACTTCGCGATGGAGGGAAACGACCAACAGTGAAGACGAAACCAATACTTACCGTATGTGAATCAGAAAAAAAATAATAAAAAAATTATGGAAAACAATCGTAAAAATAACCTCAACTCTGAAAAAAATACAAAAAATTCACTGATGAGGACAAATAATGGGCAGAAAATATCCGATCGTGATAAATTCACAACGTTTTTATCATAAAAAATCCGGAATTTTTCTCCCAACCACCCGACGATTTAAATAATATCAAACACGACACTCAATAATCGTTCTCACAAATGCAAGGCCACAAAAGTATGACGAAAAAAGGAAGAAAACTACCCCGAGAGATCCCCGGTTCGATTCCCATGCCCTCTACTTTTAACTACAGCTTGCCCCTGCAAAGCCTTGTAGATGTATCATTAAAGACCACTCAGGAGAGTGCCGGTCATGATTATACGTGTAGATGATTAAAAAACATATCTTAGGTTCATCATGGTAAGATTCAGAATAGGCCCGATTATGGACCATCCGAGGCCAAAACGTATCTTAGGTTCCTCATGGTAAGATTCAAAATAGGCCCGATTATGGACCATCCTAGATCAAAACGTATCTTAGGTTCCTCATGGTAAGATTCAAAATAGGCCCGATTATGGACCATCCTAGGCCAAAACGTATCTTACGTTCCTCATGGTAAGATTCAAAATAGACCCGATTATGAACCATCTTAGATCAAAACGTATCTTAGGTTCCCCATGGAAAGATTCAAAATAGGTCCGATTATGGCCCATCTTCCAACCCAATTCCGTCACAAACAAATTTTTCAGCCCTTGTTCCGTAGCCGTCTGCCCGAACTCTTTCCTTGATTCTCAACTTTACCCGATATTAATAACCACTATACATATTTATAGAAGTGGGAATATTAGTGAGCAATGTCATTCAATGTTCTTGTGCACGCACGTGACGCGTTGAGGAAACTCTCAAGTGTGCAAGGGAAAATATATCGTCATTAATATGTTCGTGGCTGATGTCCTGTACTCGATCAGTTTTGGCCTTCAGGTCGTACTGATTACCTAGTGCGTTTACTTGATGTCTCTGTCTCATCACCCTATTCTGATGTATTCCTTCCGCGTACCTTCATCTTCCTGTCTTTGCTACTCGCTCCGTTAGCTTGCTCTTCCTCGCTAACGCCTCTAGGGTCTTTCAGTGCGGTCACTAGCGATTCTAGATCTTGGGTCGCTACATGGGGAGGTAAGCTTTACCGCTTGTAAGTCCCCTCGCTGAACCGTTTGAGTTTATTGAGATGGTGAACTCTTTAACCTTTGCACCGTAGTGTCGCGAGTAACGACAGGCAGGAAGGCCAGAGGATAGATATATGATGCTGAGATTAGGTGTTTGAGTTATCATTGCTGCTAATTAAATTGATACTATGAGCATGTGAGATAACTCCGTAGCCATCTGGCTCAAGTCTGTACTTTTACTCTCCATTTTTCACATGAGTACTAGTCGCGTTGAGGAACCGTCCAAACCAACCGAGTCGGCCGACCGTAACATAGTATAGCTAATACTACATAACATTTTTCTCCTTGCGTCTCCTTGCGGACTCTGTTTATTTGTATGACTGGTTGAGGCTGTTGATGGTCAACGTTTCACTACTTGTGACTCGTATATTCTACCATGTCAAACGTGTATAATTCTGTTTCCACTCCAAAAAATGGTCATGTTGTTAACTGTCGTCGATCCGTAAGGGAGCCGTTCTGGAGAAAAGTGGAGGTAATAGGAGCCTTCCATCAGTTTAAGGAGAGGAGAAGCTACGACAGTCTGTGGCTGCAAAACCTTAGTACAACAACGCACCAGAATCAAGTTCAGCTAATCGACCAGAATAGGCTTGATCTGATAAACGTCGATTTCCGTATAAGACGTTAACGGTCTTGTTGCAACTACTTCCAACAGTCATACCAACAGTACTGACAGTAGACTCGTCGGGCATCTCCAGCTACCAACCAGGCCAAAGTCGTCCTGAAGTTTAGGACCTAAGCCTCGACCTAAGGGTTAACACTAAGAACAGGTTCAGCAACATGTCCTGGCCTGTATTGATTTCTATTAGAATAGCCGTACTTGCAGGTTACAGGGAAATCATCCAGAAACCTATTATAATTTATAGGATGGATTATATAGGCTATAATGTTCCCAGCGGGAACTCGTTCTGAATCTCCCACATAATTAGGAACACATTTGTGAATCAGTTCCCCATGGAAATGTAAAGGTATTCGTTGGTCGTCGTCTTTATAAAGGTATTTATTGGTCGTCGTCGTCTTTACAAAGGTATTCGTTCGTCGTCGTCGTCTTTATAAAGGTATTTGTTGGTCGTCGTCGTCTTCATAAAGGTATTTGTTGGTCGTCGTCGTCTTCATAAAGGTATTCGTTGGTCGTCGTCTTTATAAAGGTATTCGTTGGTCGTCGTCGTCTTTATAAAGGTATTTGTTGGTCGTCGTCGTCTTCATAAAGGTATTCGTTGGTCGTCGTCTTTATAAAGGTATTCGTTGGTCGTCGTCTTTATAAAGGTATTCGTTGGTCGTCGTCTTTATAAAGGTATTCGTTGGTCGTCGTCTTTTTAAAGATACCACCGTCTCATACATTACATGCACGCCATATATAAATCAAGTCCGAAAATTGCGTACCGCAATCACAACCCTTTATGCATTTCCAACACCTTCTACGAAGAGCCCCCGTTTTCACGATCTCGTCGAACCATACCTTGCCCAATTCTCGCCAGTGGCGAGTCGCCAATCCTCTCACAATTTCCATCAATGCCGTTATACATCCCACAACTCAACAAATAATAACAACAAACTGAAGCTATTCGTTAATACCAAATCCCTCTAGTCCAAAGCCCC